AGTTTATGTGCGAGTACGACTACGACCGCGAGTATTTGCCGCAAACAAACTGGTTGGGGCTGCGATGGAGCACGCTCGAATTTGAAATACAAACAAACAATACGAAAATTCGGTCTGAAAGTATACCTAAAAAATAATAAAGAAAAACGAGGACGGAAGCTAACTTCGGCAAGCCGAAGTTTTAATACCCTTGCAGATTTTACGAATTAAAACTTGACTAGACTAGCAACATGAATTAATAAACAACAAATATTTTATAATTAAAAAAAATAAAATTTTTAAATTTTTCACCCTATTGTTCCTATGGGAGCTATAGGATATAGACGCCCGATCGGCACGCGGGTTTACCCTAATGAAGGTACGCACAAAAAAATACGATTTGGAAAGTTTCATGGGAATAGCTTATATTTTGCGCGAAATATCCTGAAAAACGTCAAGTTTTGACCGATTTCACCCTATTGTTCCTATGGGAGCTATAAGATATAGACGTCCGATCGGCACGCGCTTTTACCCTGATCAAGGTACGCACAAAAAAATAAGATTTGGAAAGATTCATGTCAATAGCTCTTACACTGAGCGAAATATCTTCATTTTGTGAAAGCTATATCCGATTGTTCCTATGGGAGCTATAGGATATAGACGTCCGATCGGGTCGGCTTTCAAACTTGATCTGCGTACACATGTTTTAGGACGACTGTGAAAGTTTCAAGGCGCTAGCTTTTAAACTGAGCTCGCAAACGGTATTGAAACAGACATACAGACGGACAGACGGACATGGCTATATCGACTCCCCTATTGATCCTGATCAAGAATATATATACTTTATGGGGTCGGAAACGTCTCCTTCACTGCGTTACAAACTTCTGACCAAAATTATAATACCCTCTGCAAGGGTATAAAAACCCGTCCGGCTGCCAGGGGGCAAGTCCAAGGTTACAGTCGCATTTTTTTTCGAACAGGCCCTCACTCACTGGCCCCATCGATTCGAAGTGGAGAGGTCAAGCTGCAGGGCAGCGAAAATATTTTAATTAATTTTTCAGCCGCGCCCAAAGAGCCAGAACGATCCTAACCTTAAAGGGGAAGAGTCGAAACAAACCTTAAAGCACTTTAAATGGGGAAAAAACATGCACGCAAAAATATAATAAAATCATAATAAACAATCCAAAACATTTCTAGATTTTACTTTATTTATATTGAATCATTAGAACTAGAAAGTATTTATTTTGAATTTGAAAAATATTATCATAAATATTTCTATCTCAATTGCTATCTTTTTTTTTTTTAAAGATATATCATTTTTTTATCATCCAATGAAAGGATTTTTTTTTCTGCGTGCACGAATAATCGAATTGGAAAAGTGGAAAAGAAAGGAAAGCAAAGAAAAGCAAAGGAAATAAAGCAGAGAGAAACGACCTTCGTCACTGGCACGACATGCACTCAATGCGCACTGTGCGAGTTCACCCGGAGCAAGTGCGTCAAATCCTTGACTGAATTCGAGCAGGATAATGTCGAGGACAATGCAGGTCAAGGCGACAGGCGGAAGCAGGTGAAACGCCACTCCAAAACGAGCCTGGCTGGCTGGCAGACAATAAATAAAGCCGAAAGCAAACATCGCTCTCTTGTGCATTCCACGCCCACATTTCACCCACGAATGGTTCTGTTTATACGCACAAACATTTCTAGTTTGGAAGAGCAACAGCATAATATACACAAAAGTATATTTGGCAAGGCAAATCAACAGTTGTGGCCACTTGAATAGCAGTTCAGTCTACAGGTACACAAACATTTCATTTCCATATGAAGTAGGTAAGCACGAAATATGATTACCAGGAAATGAGAAAAGATTGTTTTTCGGAAATCCCATGACAAATTTAAGTTTTGCACCTGTACTAAAGATTTCAAGTGCAATAAAGATTTCTTGCCCGCTGGTATACATAAATATATACAGATACGTCTGTTTCTTCCACGCATTACTCATCAAATTTGGATTGCTTTGCAAGTGTTTTTTAATGCTGTGCTACCTGACGCATCGCACATACAAATATAGATGAAAGTACACCCAAAGTTTAGAGTTTCGGGTGCTTCGGTCGATTTGAAAGTGCTTCCTGTATGCTTATTAGACGAAAAGTGAAAAGAGCACCCCACACAAGTGCAGCTGATGACGCTGCATCTACGAAAATAGCATTCAATTAGGCGAGTGAACGGGTGGCTAGGAAAATGGGGAAGTAAGGAAAATGGGGAGGGGTAAGCACGACATAAGAGGAGATGCCACTTTCTATGCAAGTGCTCTGACCCATATAACCCCGCCTGGGAAACGCCACGAAACGAAGCGAAACACTATGAAATGCACGACGGAGACGAGCAAATCAACGGACAAAGTAAATGAGAAAATCCCACTAAATGAATGAGCGGGAGGCTGGTGATCGGGGGCCTCACACTCGTTCACCCCTTTCGTTTTCATTTGAGCACGGGCACAGGCACTGAAACAGCCGAACGAAAAAGGAAACCCAGTGGAAGTCAATGTGCTTGTCATGAGTTCATGTCGAGCAGTTGTTGCCGCCTTAACCAGAGATGGAGATTCGGATGGCTATACGGCTATTGTTAAGCCTTTTGCGGCGCGGAGCGACTGCACGTTATGGGGTCCACATCGACGTCCACTTCCCCATCCTCCATCCATCCAAGTCCAAGTCAATTGGGCATTTTAGGCACGCATGCAGCTACTCGTAGACGGGATGAACAGTCCACTCGGGAAAATGCCACAACGTTTTAAAAATATGGTTAAAAGTAACCTATCCATAAATAAAAAAAATATTACCAAAACCTATCTTTAGCTGATTACAACATGATTAAACAACATAAGATCAAGGGAAATGTTATAATAGATCTGTATATATTACGAATATAGATTTTACAAATATATTTCCTTACAAATATTATATTCACCTTGAAAAATGAGGAGTAATCAAATCTGTGCTAATTAAATTATAATTTAAAATAACTTCCTAAGGTGCCAGAAAGTATGCAACGATAAATTTGATCGCCAATACTAAGTGAAAAATGTAGGGTACAATAAAGAACAACAAATTAACCAAGATTCCTAGAGTTCCTCGTCGAATAACTGTTAAGAATTCTTTCCCACGCAAACAGAAGCCATTACCCCAAGTTTTCCCCCAGTGTATCCGCATGAACTCAATTAGGGCCAGTAGCGGAGTAGCCGAGTAATTAATCATTGACAATACAAGTACATGTCTCGAATAGCGGTATAAAAGCCCTTTGCAACGGCAACCGGAGAAGACAAGAGAAGAGAAGGCAGAAAATGTAAGAATCTGAATCCGAATCCAAAACCGTCAAGCCCATTCACATTCACATCGAACGGTTTACAGGTTATTCGAGAGCGGCTCTCACGGCGGGACACCCTAACGGTATCGTGTGTAATTGCAGTTGCATGCACAAGTACTTTGAGGTTTATTCGGTCAGGTTTTTAGCTTCTTGCTCCTCCTCCTCCCCCTCCGTTATCACCTCGATTCGGGGCGAAACATGAAGAAGTAAAGCAGTGTGGAAGCAAACACGAAAACTTGTTCTTACAACAACACTGACGTCATCCCAGCTGAGAAATTAAAATAGGGAGTGGACGTGGACTACAATCATATGCGAGTGCGGGCTGGTGTTGGTGAGCGAGGGGGCCGAAAGAGAGCGGCGAGGAGATGGAGATCCAACTCTCAGCTGGCCACTATTGATTGATGGCCCACCGGCAGTGGGAGGGGGATAGAAATAGGATGAGGAAGAGTGTGTGAGAGAGCACCTGAGCGCATTCCTTCTTTACCTCCTCCCCGCTCCTTTCCCCTTCCACCCACACTTAACCACTCCCGATACGATAAGGCCGATAATGCCATAATACTGCTATCGCACCACCCACCCACCCACCACCCCCTTTCGATAACTTTGCGCAGACACACGAACACACACCTTAGACAGCGAGAGAGAGAGAGTATCTGTGTGTCGGCAGATAACTTACCCATGGCGAGATACTATTTGCTGCTATTCTCTTCGCTTTTGCGCCTGCAAAACGGGGGAGGGATTCACGCACACTGGAACACAGAACGAGACACACACACACGGCACGGGGAAAGCACAAATACTCGCGCACAGGTCACCACTACTTCCTCTTCACTTCACTAACAAAATTTTTCTTCTGCTTAGATTTTTTCTATTTGTATCTTTCGCCGTATGCATTCGCAATCTGCGTAGCACGATTGTTAGAGGAGTGCGAGCGTGTGAGTTTCGATAGGAGAACTAGAGTTGAGTGGTTGGATTGCTTTCGGTGTGTTCGCAAATGACGTATGTGCGTTTTGCGCTCGTGGACTCGCAAATTCAATTCGCCGACAAAGATCACAGTGGAAAATGGTGGCCTTTTTCGAAATGCCTGAAAGTCTGATTCTCAAATAGGAGCTGCGACCAGAAAAAACACCGCACCGCACCAGCGAAACCGACGGCAGCAAAAAAACGACTAAGTATCTGAGAGATACGGTTCGTAGAGGTGGAGGAACATCGATGGAAACATCGATATTCAATGGCGACTATCGATGTTTTCACATCACTAAAATGTTAAGTGAAGCGTTTGAATCTTAACATTACATTTGTATCTTAACATTTCCGTTAAGGATAATATTACGTATACGTAATTATAAATAATAATAAAAAAGTTAGATTCACATTAAGTTGCTAATATGTAATCAAAAATGTTGACTACGACTAAAAAAAGAAAAGAAAATGATATACAAAATGACTTACTTTTATAACTTTCTTAGATTTTTCTGTCTTTGTAATACAATTTCTTTTTCTTCAGTAACTACTATTTTTAAAAAAATATGGTTCTTTGAAGAACCTACCTATATGCAACATCTAATCCTAGAAAATAAATTAAACCAATTGACTTAAAGTTATAAGAAAGACTGAGTTTAAATGATCTGCCTTTATTTAAAAGAAATAATCTTTAGACATTCGTTTCCGTTTGAATCTTTACTTAAAACTTTTATTTAAATAAGTGATTTCTTTTTTATGCGTTTTGCGTGTACATTTGCACAATAAGCTTTCTTAGAAGGTAGTAATAATAATAATTGTAATAACATTACTAACAAAAATAATAATGAGATAAAATTCCATTTATAATACAGTTAGAATAAAATTCATTATGTTATTGGCCCTTTGTTCAACTTTCTAGAACCATAGGATTTCTATATATGTTATATAATTATATATATTATATTTATAGGCATGAATGTGTAATGATTCATAATAATTCCAAAAAGTGTTTTAAAAACTATCAATAAACATTTCAATGACGCCTCCATATTCACCCGCAGCATAATTATGTTCTGTAATTGCCACCCATTTAAAATTTAATAGTACATTGAGATTTGTAATAATTTAAGCCCGCAGTCGAGGGATTCGTGGTTATTCACATTAACTAGCGCGTACATTGTATATTCTCTTCTGCCTTTCGGCCACGTATTCACTTAATGGATTGTTTCAGATGTGAGTGTAATTAGATCTACCAGTGTTTAGCTTCAATTTCGTTACTATACGGTCTACAATGCCTCGACGGACGACCCAGTGTGAATAAATTTGACTAAAATCAACGAACGTTGAATTGGGAACGGATATGATATACATATGTCGATCGATCTATTTTCGTACTTTGCTGCTTAACCTTTAGTTTGCTTTCAATTTAGTTACAACTACAACTTTTCAACTGCTTGCATATATGCATATGTATTCTCTATATAGTTTCCTTTAGCTAACTGCGAGTGCAAGTGTGTAGGATGATCTGCACATGTTCCCCTCGTCTCAACATCTGCTACCGATCGCCAAAAGTATAAAATAAGGATATTCAATAATATGCGCAGATATCTAATCTGAAACTGGGTAATCTACTCCTCATCCGAGTCGCCATCACTGGAGTAATGTGTGATCTGGGGGCGACGAATGAAGGGCGCCGTTATCACTTGTCTGCAAGACATGTCACAGATTAATTAGGAGGTATATTTTGACAGAAATTCAAGTCATGCTTACGCAATGCGGCGGTAGTGATTCAGCCACTCTTCCAGCATCTGGGCGACCAGCAAGGGACGTTTGCTGAGCTTCTGTTGCGCCACCAGTAGTCCTCCATCGGTTACGCACACGTCCAGCCATTGGCGCATCATTGACTCCTCGTTGCCCACCTAAAAGGTAGCAAATAATAGTTTAAATGAGTTATGATACAGCAATAATATCTCTTTTCGCTCACCTCGGACTGTGTGAGAAAATGTATGGGCAATAGTTTCAGCTCGCAGTCCATCAGCGGCAGGTAGGTCACATCCTCCACGTCGTCGCGTCGTCCATCGATGCGAGTGAATGGTTCCATGGGCACCAGGGCGCTGAAATGGCCGCGCGTATAGCCGAGTGCTATCGGTGACTTGGTGCAGAAGTTTTGATCCCAGAACAAAGGCAAATAGACACCTAGAAAGTAGAACAGGGATGTTATTATTATTATTATTCAATACTAACTTATAGTTAAAAACTATAATCTAACAGTGGTTTTATTTTAGAGGCCTTAAGCTCGCTTATTGTAGTTTAGTAGTTGTGATTATTATTTTTATTATATTTTACAGATTTTTTGTATATCTTATATAGTATGTAGCAGTTATTAAGGAAGGGTATAATTTTCTGGGTATTGATTAAATTAGGATTTGAGATAATATGGATAGGGTTTTGGGAGTTGAACAGGGATATTCAAGGCCAATTTAGTCAATCAGAAATTAATAATAACTCACCTTCAAAACGCGCATATCCAATGTCCTCGCCCCGAAAGCTCTTAACGTACTTCACGCCGTATACGATGATCGGTCGTCGAAGAATGTGCGCCAGCGCAAAGATGTGCAGCTGCTCCAGGGACGAACCTGGTTGGCTGGCCAGCGACAGCAGGGTACTCCAATCCTCCTCGAATTGCGAGTCCTCCAAGGTAAAGTGAAGCATTGAAGCTTGCAGCATCTCATACTCTTTCCAGCGAGTAAAGAAACTGCAATAAAATGGCAAGGATTTTAGGTTATAAGATAAATAAATTGATCTTAATTCGAGTAATAAATAACAATGTATCTAATTAGGCAGCTTGAAAAAGCCCAAATTAAGCTTAAAATCTAGATTCACAATTGTAAAAATAAAAATGTATCTAATTCGACACCTTAATCTTAATTAGCTTATAGTTTTAACTTTAAGTTTGCTTTACATAAATAAATAAAAAATAAATAAGTTAAACACAATATAGATCCACTTACACGTGACCGCACTGGTGCAGTGTGTCGGCGAGTGCCCGCCGCAGGATATTGTCGCGATCGAAGACGCCCCAGGTGGCCTGCATGGCCGAGTCGAGGAGGCAGTCGCCGGCGCTGCGGTTCCACAGGACGAACATCCGCGAGCTGAGACGAGCGGTGATCTCCAGCGACCAATTGAGAGCCGGCGGCGGCGTCTCCAGCTGCTTCTGGGCGTCGCGATCGAGCAGCTCGTCGTAGAGCTGCTCCTGTATGGGAATGGGCAGCTCCTCTATCTCGGCGGGCAGGGCGAAGGTGGCGTGCTTCTGCACATAGTGGCAGGGCAGGCCGGACTTGCGCAGTCGCAGGGTGTTGGCAAAGTGGCGCCGGATATCGGCTGCTAAATCGGGAGCCACGTAGGACGGCACACGCTTGATGCCCGGACCCGAGCCGGAGATCTGGGCCAGCAGCATGGGTAGCATTTCCTCGCGATGGAAACGAATGGCCAAATGGATCAGGGTGTGGCCCACATCGAAGGCCGAGTTGCGGTTTAAAGCGGCGATCTCGGTGCTGGTCAGCGAGCGGGCGGGATTACCGCCGCAGGAGAGGTACGCCTCCACGGCGCTGTAGTTGTTCTCCACGACGCCCAGGCAGGCGTTTAGCCACTGCCAGTCCACCTGGCGACGGATTTGACGCTGGCGGCGCTCCTGCCGCTCCTGCAGCGTATCACAGTTGTTGATGGTTTCCGAGGAACCTGAAGAAATTTAAGCTATTACTCTTTTCTAAAGGGAATCATAATGAGAACCCCTACCCAGTTGGTAAATGTGCTTCTTATTGAATGAGTTGTTGACGCTGACGGTGTCCACGTTTTGCTGCTGCTGTTGCTGTTGCTGCTCCTCCTGGCTGTTTAAACTGGAGGAGGCATGCAAGTCGTTCAGCGAGCCACTGATCTCCCGCTCCCTCGTCTTGCCGCACATCGAGCACTTGATGCTTCGCGGCCAGTTTTCATAGGTGCACGACTAAGGAAGATACAGAATTGTAATGTGTGGTAGCTACTTAGACAGAGAGGAACCTACATTACACGCCCACTTGGCCACATAGCACTGCTTCTGCGGGACGGCGGCGGAGGAGGAGGATTCCCGCTGCTGCTGCGGCTGCAGCTGGAGCTGCATCTGCATCTGCTGCTGGTGGACAGGCTGTCGGTTGTGGGATGCATTGGCGAGATTGTTCAGGTGCGTGGCATCATCGATGCCGGACTCCAAACTCAAGCGATTGGAGGCCGTGGCCCCGATGAGCTGGGCCGGCTTCTTGGCCAGGTTCTCATCCGATCCGCTGATGCGCAGAGCCTGCAGCGCCTCGCCAGCCTCGTTATCCTTGTCCCTGTTGCCCCGCTCGATGGCCTCGCCGCCGCGCTTCGTGCAGCACTGGATGCAGCGCAGGCTGCGCGGCCAGTTGAGATAGGTGCACACCTTGCAGGGCCACTTTTCGCTGTCCGCCACGTTGCTCTGACGCGCCTGGTTCGGCGGCTGGAGCGAGTAGCACGTGGACGAGGGTGTGGGCGGTTCTACGGCGGCGGCCTCCTCCGCCACGCAGCTGCTCTCCTGGGCGGGACTCAGGCTGTAAAAAAAGAGGATATTGGATAACCAATTGATTGAAAGCTAGTTAGAATTGCCTCACCGAAAGATGTCCTCGTTGAGCAGCGGCTTCGACGCCTGGCACATGGTGCATTTCAGCGAGGATGGGTAGTTCTCGTAGGTGCAAATTTCACATTTCCATTTCTGCGCATCGTCTTTGGTATCGCACATCGTTTTGTGCGCGGAGCCAGCCGATGCAGTTGCTCTGTGAAAGGAAAGGGATCGTACGTTGAATAATTTGGCATATTAAGGGAATTTTAGCAATGTCTATGGGACTTGTAAAAAGTAATCTTAAATATTATTTACTTTTTTTATTAGTCAACTTGGTCTATTCACCTGCCTGTCGTTTTCTCTTTGAAATATTTTCTTTTTAATAAATATTGTTGCTAATTAGGCTTATAAGTCAAGTCAAAAAGTTTGATCAATAGTTAACTACTTGACATATAAAAAATATAAATAAAATAAATAAATTCCTAAACTAGCTATGCTTAACGAAGGGGTCTTCTTATTACGATGTCCTAAGATATTTAAAAGTATTTTACTCGTAATATCGTAAAGTTGTCTTCCTTTTGGAACTACAAAATATAGGATTGTCCACTTAGAAAGTAAGATATTTGAAAACCTATATAGCAAACTAACTTTCTTATATTAGAGAGTATTGAAAAGAAATTTGACTTATTTTTCCAAGCATGAATTTTATGAAGAGGGTATTCTATCTTCGGTGTCCCACCAGCGGCGCTCCCAACTTGTTAATAAGGTCAAACAACGGTTAGCGAGGCAGAAACAGTGTCCTTGACCCTGAGACATAATTCGCAGATACATCCACAGATACAGATACATCTGCCTTGGCTCCGTTCTACGTTCCGTTCCCCCAGTTCCCACGTCACAGTCAGCCTTCGGTCTCTGGGAATGGATTGGATTGGATTGGGTCTGGTAGTGGTACGGTGGGTATAGAGGTAGTGGTGCTACTACTGGGTCGCTGCTCGCAATTGTTTGTTGCCATTATTCGCTCGTGTATGTACGGTATGTATCGCGTGCAGTGTATGTAGGTATGTATGTACGAGGGGGGGGTTTTTCGCGCTAGTTTCTTATTGGGATTCGCCCCATGCCATCCCATACATCCCAACCAACCGCCGTCTTCCCACAGTACCTGGCGCAGAAATTCGCAAGGCCTTTTGCAGCAGTCCCAGAAAACGCGACGAATCGAGTCGATTTAAATATATAACACTGGCGCTGTCACAATCACAATAGGGCCAAGAAATCGGCCCGCGAGCGCTGTAATAGCTATATATCGCTATAATCGCCGTCAGCAGCCACCCGCGCCCGCAGCAGCGTCGTTATGGCCCTCAATGTCGATCCAATATTGCCAGTAATGCGGGCTGGCAGGCAGGAAAATCACAATAATTACAAAACAAAGACGTGAAAAACTTTCACTCGATTTTCAGTTTCGGGGGTTTTTCCTTCTTTTCTCCTGCCTATTTCTCGGTTGCAGTTGTTCGGACGCGGGGCGAAACACGAAAATCCGCGGACACTATCACAGCGACACACACACGCACGGCGGTTCGTAGTGCAAGGAATTTGGAATTTGGATTATTTGGAAATTAATTATTATGTTGTTTTTACATTATTGCGAGGCCAATCATCTGGTCTCTATCCAGTGTTGGAGAGTGCTTACCGTAAAGTGTAACACCACAAACGGTCACACTGCAAATGTAGTGATCCATCCCTGGTGAGTTGTTTTGGTCTTGGGTAGAGTGTGACCATATCTCCTAGCCAAGTTCTCCACCGTCTCACTAAGGGTCATGGTATTTTTAAAGGATCGGCAAAAGGTACTATTGAGTAAAATGGCGGGAGCTGTACACGAATTTCATCTGGTAAACAAATTGCGACGATAAAATAATGGTTAAAACACGGGCAGCGCCGCCCGTTGTGACCTCGGATGCAGCGACCAGTACAAGACGCAATCGCCTGCGCGGTAAGAAACTATCGGACGAAGCCATTTTGGCCGTCATAGCGGAGCCCCAGCGCTCCCTCAAAAAATGCATGGTAAGAATAAGGCGCATTAAGCTGCCGGAGGAATCTCCGAATGCTGCGCAAGATGTGGACACCAGCGCCTTTGAGCCGGCTCGCAATTCGACGATGTACGTTCCGCCGAAGGTACAGATCAAAAGGAAAGACAGAGTTGCCAAGCAGAAGGCGGCAGGTAAGTGGGCGTTATTTGGGTAATATATGGGTAATAATATGTTTAAACCCTCTACGATTTCTAGAACAAAAAATATCACCCTGTCGCGTACGCTTGAGGAATATCAGCCCCAGGAAACCAGCGGCAGAGGTTTCCCCCAAAAAGCCATCGCGCTTCTTCCACCGAGATCAGCCGCCGACGAGAACGCGCTCCTCGGTGACCCGCAATGTCTTCGATTTCCTCTCGCAATCCCAGATCGAGGATGACAACAACCGGGAGGATCCCGCCGCGGACATAGTTAAGCGTCTGGTCAAGGATGGCAAGGCCTGCGTGATGGTGCGCTCGACTTCGGGCAAAACAAGGGCCAAAACAATAAGAAAGAAGCCACGACCTGTGGGCAGGCGGAAGAAGTGTTCGCTGAAAGACGCGGAGCCCCAAGAGCCAGTCCAGAATGTTCCGAAGATCATAGAACCCCGCATGCAGAAGCCATCACGCGCTTTGTCTCCTATTTACGAGCCCGAGGAGGATTGTAGCAATGATTCGGATGCATATGCTCCTTGCATGGAGCCCATTGAGGTGCCCGTTCAGGTGCACGTCGAGCCAAGTACTTCCAGGCAAGCCCACGATGGAGCCTACAGTAATTTGGCCCGATCCGTGATGCTCAATCAGACGCAGGCGCAGAATCCGAAAAAGCCCTCAGACAGACGTCGTGAGCTCATCAACATGGCGCGCCAGTTGGTTAGCACACCGCTGAATCGCAAGGTGCCACCGGTACCAGAAGCGAACATCACAGCCACTGCAATATCGCCTATTACCCGCCAGTCTCCGGCGGCGGGAGCGGCATCCCCTTGGCGCGTTTCCGACGAGTCGCCAATGCCAAATACCTTCATGTTCGGCTTCAACACCTCCCAGCTGCCCTCGTATTCCAGTGATCACATGCGGCGACGGCATGTCTATGTACCGGATGTCCAGGCGGAGCGATCCGAGGAGTCCATTTGTCCGCCTTTGCACGAGCAAAGTCATGACTCAAGTGCGAACGACTCGAACGAAGAGAATCGACCGCCTGCCACTGCTAGCAAATCGATGACACTCGATGACCAGGAAAACGCAGAGAATGCCGAGAACTTTGTGCACCTACCAAATCCACGGAGAACGCTGAAGAAGCGCACGCCCTTTAAGGACATAAACATTTTGGAGGTGGTGACGCTGCCGTCATGGAAGAAGAATGTGCCAACAACTCCCTCGAAAGAAATCTCTTCCACTAGAGTTTCTAATAACCAAGCGCAGAATGCATCACCAGCACAGCGCAGCCAAACGCGTGCGAATCTTTTTGGCTTCGACGAGATTTTGCCCAGTGAAGATACAGCAGCTAGTAAATCAACGGAAGCAAGAGAATCTACTCATTCAGAAGCGACCGCTTCTCCAGCGAATGAAATATTGCCATGTGAAGATGCATCGAGAAAAAGCCCACGAAATCTTTTTGGATTTGAGGAATTCATCACTGAAAGCGAAGTTTTGGCTCCCGCCTCCAGAGCTTCGAGTCAAAACGTGACACTGCATGATAAACTCCATCGACTGGCTGAGCTGCGACCCCGTGATGGGGAGCTACCGCAAGTGTCAACCTACTCGCTGCAGGGCGATTGCTTGGGAGAAAGGCAATTCAAGCACCCGGATATCAGAGATGTGTTTTGCTCCACAATGGTTGCGGAGCCCACACCACCACGAAGGCGACGAGCTGCACTGCCTGCAAGGGAAACCATGGGATTGTTTAGGGATGTCCAAGTCGATCCGGAGAAAACGTTTGACGAAAAGGTAAGATTTAGTTATAATTTAGATTCAGCGCTGGAAAAGCGTCGACATTGCAAATTAAATGCAGACACAAACCAAATAGAAATTGCGCTAGATTAATACCAAACTGAGACATGTTAACGATCTCAGTTGAGCTAACAGGGCCGCAAAGATTTAAGCCTATCTTTGAACGGTAGTAAGCAGCTCGCACAAAATAAACTGAAATCAGAAAGTATCTTTTTCTAACTAATCCCTTTTCCAATTGCTTTCATTCTAGCAACCAAGGCGAACATACGTGAGGGAGCGTCCACAGCGCAAGCGAAAGAAGCGAGTGCAGATGTTGTACATAGAGAGTGAATCTGAGGACGAGGACGAGCAGGACTCGCACGATAATAACTTCAGTTCTCCGCAGAAGAAGCAACCGCAGAGTAAACGACCGCGTAGGGATGTGGAGCACGAGGCTAAATTGCAGGAGTACATCACCAGTTTCAACAGGGAGTGTGAGGAAGTGGAAAAATTCCCAGTGATCATCGAATAACCATTGCCTGTTTTTATTTCATTTTTAGGGGAAAGTATTGTCGATTTTAATTTAGTTTTCTTTCTTTTTTTAACACTTGTGAGTGTATCTTATTGTTTTGTCTAGAAGTATGGGAAGATTAGGTTTCCTGAATAATATGTTAGGACCAATAGTCTAAAATGAATTACTTATAAATATTGTAACCGTACTAAGTGTCTCGAATGCACTTTATGCAATACTAGTTAAAATTGAACTGGTATTCCTATTATCAAGAGCATGGTTTGGATTTCGATATTATGCACAAACAGAATACTGCACCAAAATGTATAAATTTTAAAAATAAACATTAAATAATTTATTTAAAAAAACAAGTCATATATATTTCTTTATTTTTTTTCTGATTTGGATGGGAATTCCAAAATTAAACGGGATGACTAAACTATTGCAGCTAAAATTCGTAACCACCAAATAAAATACCTGTTAATTTTATATCATACATAATTTCCATAAGGTGGACTTATTTTTATTGTTTATTTCTTCAAATTTCTATTGAATCGATATCGATAAATATACATGTGCATAAGTCATACTTTAGAAAACATATTTTATTTAAAAGTTTAATAATTAAAACATAGGCTTCCTAATACCTAATTGGCCGTTTTCTTGGTTATATTTATTGTTTGGAAATTTCATATTTTTACTACAAGGTTAGGTCTTACTTGACAACCGTCATGACCCGCGCCAATCTCTCTTTGAATAACGTTACGTAAAAATTGATTCAAATTCGAACAAAATTTAAAACAATAGATAATCCAAAATGGGAATGGTATGGTTAAATATGACAAGTCAAAACTCAGAAAAAACTTAAGTTAATTAAGAAATGAATTTGATGCTTATACACATAGGAAAGTGTTCCAATCGCTTGCTTATACAAATCCAAAGTTTTTGGATTTAATGGCCATCAGCATTTTACTGCGTAAAATTGATTTGCTGGAGTACAGGGGGATATACAGCCGAGATATACAAGTATTCGCAGTCGGTAGATGAGAGTCATCCGCAGGTCTAATGGTGACAGATGGCAATGGTTGGAATCCCTCCTCCGAAGCTGGAAGCGCAGGCGATCCGGTCCAGAAGTACACCTAAAATAATCCCCGGCTATTAAATCTGTTTTTAAACTGTTTAGCAAAGCATCTTACCAAGTCTTGGCGTTCCAAGATATTCATTTTCTCAACAATACTCCAAAACCATTTCTTAAATTTTAAAAGTTTATCCGGACCCTCGCTAGATTCGTCGTTAAAGGTAGTGTATGAAATTAATGTTGAAACATTTATATCACCGACACCGTTCAGCAGCAGACGCAAATCCTCAGCGGTTAAGCTATTCATGCTGTTATCGGGCAGGACGTCGAAAACTCCGTCTTTCAATGCCTGTAAATAGTTAAACATTTAATATTGCAAAATAATTTTTACTAAATATTTCAGCATACCTCAAGTGCTTTTTCTTGGGATTTGATTAGTCTATATTCTGTATAGCGTCTGATGTACTCGAATATGTTACTCGAGGTGACCGCAACTTCGCGCCCTCCTGGGATAAGCTCTCTGTTACCACAGCCCTCCTCCTTCATCAAGTCAATCCTAAAATAAGACGTTAATTAATGCATATAATATGATTAAAGTAAAGTAAATTAACTTACACAAAGCATAGCTCCATTCGGTTAATGGTTTCTTCGCCTTCTTTTGTTTGGGCATTTTGAATAATTTGCCTAAAAGATTCGTACAGTGCTGGATCGAAAAATGCCAGATCGTGGAACTTAATTTTACGCCCAAGAATGTATTTTAATACATGTCTTTGCAGGAACAGTGGAAGCAATTCATTTTGCAGTAGACAAAGTCCAATAAGTCTATAGGAAAAGAGCAAAATGTAATTTGCAATACGTAGATTAAAACGCACACGACTTATTTACCTTCCAATATTTCTAAATGCATTAATGCGCTCGAATGATGCAAAGCCTTGGCGCGGTGTATAAAAGCCCCGCTTTCCCGGCGAGTAAAATAATGGCTCATTATCGTCATCTACCGGCTCGACCAGCACTACAGATGGTGATTTTTTTGGTTGGCTACTTTGTGCACTGGCCTCAGATTTGAGTTTGAATGTGATAATTTCTATCGCTTCGTTAACTTTTTGACGCAGTGTCTCATCTGAGGAAATCACGGACAGAAGCTGTGGCGTGGGTATCTCCAGCAGCATTCCTGTTATCTTCGGTGCATGTGTTTGGTTTATCGAGTGGATCTGTTGAGCAATGTAAAAAAGTTAATGACTTGAACACTGATCGGTTTCCATGCCTTACCTTAGGGTAAAGACGCTCTCCAATTTGTTGTAGGTGGACAGACAAATGATCATTCACGCCTTCCGGCATTGCATTATCTAAATTGTACATTCAAAGATAGTTATTTGTAATTAATAAGTTGTATGTTGTTCATTCCTATAGCCCATACCTGAATTATTAATTGGGGTGTACGGTCTGGCATCCAAATTCAATGCCTTTCTCTCGCGAGCCGAACGCCACAATATTTTGCTGCTGGTGCCACGCCTCTGCAGGGTGGACTGATCACGACTAGAGCCCGATACCGTTCTGCTGCGCAGGATGCTCGAGAAGGGCACTCCGTACTTGCTGTGGCTGGTGCCCACCTGAACGGATTCCAGGTTCGGAATCTTAGCACTGGCCAGCAATGCCTCTGCGATCGACGTGTAGAAGCTGCGCGCCACTCCGGATCCCTCGCCCGGCTCGTCCTTGAATGTCACCTTTACTCGGTTGAATGTAATGGGTGGCTGGGTTCGCCGGTTTTGGTTGCCAAATTGGGTATTCAGTTCCTTGAACGTTTGAACAATTAAGCTTTCACGATTACGCTCCAGCTTGCAAAGCACCAGGTCGCGCTGTTGTCCGTTGCGCAATTTCTCCATGTGACGACGGAAACGCATCTCCTTGACGGGAAAGCCGCGCAATTCCGGCAGCACAGATCCGTGCTCCATTCCCACATCATCCATAAAGACGCGACCGAATAAATCCAGGGTTAGCTTCCAGCGACTTAGCAAAAAGTTCCACGACGGCAATTCCGAAAAATTACTTTGGTAAAACAGAGAACCGCGAACGGGAAAACTTAACGGGTGGTGCGGCGTTGACTTTTGATGATGGCTATCACATTTAGCTTGCTCTCCGGTCGATAAGTTTGATGCCGAGAAATTGTTCAAGTCGGAATCGATCGTCTTCAAACAGGAGCCACCTGCGAGAACTATAACGCTGCGGGCGGCAGTCGCTGGTGACACTGAGGCTTTATTTGGCGCAATGATCACTTCCGGCCGTGTGGCCATTAACGCTTCAGTCGACTTGCTGGTACTTGGCAGACTGCTTATATCATCAGTTTCCATTAGAACCACTTTATCGTACTTGCTGTGATTACCTGTAAATTAAAGAGAAAATGTTGGTTAATATTTAGGAGCCTGCAGGTCTATAAGTTCTACTCACCATCAGCCTCTTTGTGGGATTTGAAATCATCCGAGCCCTGCTTCTTCTTTAACTGTACGTAGATATTAGAGTCCGTAGAGCCCTCAGCCTTATAAGTTACATTTCCATCACCCGCTTTACTAGTATCCATATTGATTACTACCTCCATAGACTGTTTGGCCGGCACTGTTTCATAAACATGCTCGTTCCTTTTCAAGGAATTCGAGAATCCCAGCCTTGTGGGTGTGTAATCAAAAATGCTGCCACCGCTGCTATTGGGAGCGCTGTTGCTTGCACTCGTGGTCACGAGTAGCGGTAGGTTTGCGAAAAGCTCCTGTCGCTTTGAATTCGGCTGCAGCAAGTGTGGTTTATCGGCGAGGGGCATGGCCATATCCAGTGGCAGATCGAAGCCTTCTGGCGCCGAGCAGCCCAAGCTTAGAGTCGATTCCGAGCGCGCAAAGAATGCATGTCGGCGTGTGCCCTGGCTTCCTGAAGGAACGCTACTGGTAGACGGCTGAACGTCGGCGTTGAAATCTTCCAGGTTGGTCAACTCTTCGTCTGTATCGTAGCTCTCAACCATGGGGGAGAGATTGTTTATACGGCCCGAAATGGTGTCTTGTTTGTCATAGAAGCCCGTATCATTGCGCATATAGTAAACGAAGGCATCGAGCACATAGGCAATGTGACGCAAAGCTGTTATATCCAACACCGGCAGGGCATCTCTGTGCTCAGAAGTGTGGGCACGCATCAGGGACAAACAGTAGGTGAAGAAGTCTCGACGTGAATTGGATCCTTTAAAAATTGTATTTTAATAGGATATAATAAATAGTCATTATTTGGTACCTACCCATTATATTCACACCACTAACGGACGAGGATGTCGCAGGAGCGGGCGTCTGGCTACTCGATGCCTGGGCACTAAGGTTGAGCGGATGCAGCGGATGGTTGGGATCGGTGTAGTTAGTCAAATAGGCACCGAACTTCAACTGTGCCTCGGTTCCATCCATCACCGTGAACATCCAATCCCACGTAGCCTTCAAACGCTTTTCCACAAATGCCTGTATCATAAAAATTACAATTTCAATTAAGTATTAAGTTCAAGGGTGAGAAAGTTTTGGTACTTACTTGAACTGCAATGGCCTCATCGCTTTGAATTTTCAATGATGTTTCAATGTCGTTAACTATGTTGTACGACAAAATGCTTATTAGCTCGGAGATCTGTCTTATTGTGATCCCGAATGCCCTTGCCAGGTTGCTGGCCGTTGTCGCCATGGTGTGAGGTTCAATCGAGGGAGTGGTGACGGTTGTGCTGGCCGGTACAGTGGAGCGGCGCAGCGCCATTGGGTCAATGAAAACCAAATTGGATCCGGTGGGCACCCTCACGGATGAGCGGGCAGTGTCGCGGTTCCTTATGGCCCACTGCATCGTTTGAGGCGCTAGATCGCTGCGAGCATTCGAGTTTGTGCTACGACGTTCAAGCTGCTGATCATTGAAATTGAACTCGTCGGAGTGGTCGTCGGATTCTCCATCCTCCGAACC